AAGACATAGTGTGGGATCATCTAGTAAAAATATTGATTCAAACTTAAATCGTTTTTGAATTATGTTATTTTGTGTTATATCACACACGTTTTTAATAAATTACAAACCTCTTTAATTAACAGAGACTAATTTTAGAAAACAACAAATATTTTTCCAGTTTTGTTGTGTATACATTTCATTTTATACTTTCAGTACATAGAGTAAAGACAATATTAGGTTATACTTTTGTTGCTAAGCAATGTGACATAAAAGCCATTGTTGGAATTGTAGTGTTAACAAAATGCACTGTATATTAGAAGTTGTTAATCTGATTCTTACCAATAATTATTCTATGAATATGCCACAAATTCATTTCATGAATAATCTTAATTTTGATTGGCTCACAAAGGAATTTACCTATATTTGACTGCCTTTACTGCACTTTTCTGCTTCTTTGTTGGTCAAGCTTGATTTTGCAAAATTTATTTATTTCAGTTAGCTATTATATGTAAGGTTAGGGTATACTATGGGGGTGTGGGTGGTAGTACTTGCTCTGTCATTTTTGATGGGCTATACGGTAGTAGTATATAAGCTTTGCCTGTAGCTTTATTCAAAGCTCTACTTCAGCAGTGACTTTTCAGGCCACATGCTGTGAAATTATACAGGGTGTAACCAAGGCCTGTAATAAAACATGAAACAGAGAAGGAAAACCATGAGAGAAAAAAAGGCATAATTTTATTCTTAAGGGATGATAGTTTCTTAGCAAATGAAACCTGTGCTTTGAACAGGTCAGAAAAATTATAAAAATTGGTAGTTATGTTGTCTACAGGCAAGTCTCCTCAGAACTATGTAGAAATGTAAGTTTGAACATTTTCTGTATTTCTGTTTCTACAAATCACCCTAAATTCTACAAAATTAAAAAAAAACATGAATTCTAAATTATTTTTGATTCAAAAATTAGTGAAATTTATTATTTTTACTAAAATTTTAAAATTGGCTGTGCAGATGTGCACTTGGTACTTGAAAGGTGCATAGCAGTCTGGAAAAGATTAATGGCAGTTTGTATAATTTGGAAAGTGCCCATGTTATTGATTTGGTAAGAAAATGTTGAAAATTATACCTAACTATTTGTATATAGAAATCCTTTAGTGCTATAGTATATATATATCTGAATTTTTTTTACTTTTTATCTAGGGATGCAAAATTAAAAGGAAAGTCAGGGGAAATTGCAACAGCTGCAGTTTCTAAAAGGCATCCCATCTCTTCTATGAGTCAAAAGGAGAAAAAAAATGCAAAGAAGGTAATTAAAGATGAGACTCAAAAAATGTACTCAACTGAACAATTTAGATTTGATTCTGATACTGAGGAATATGACTTGGAAGAAGAATTGCAAAAAACAAAGAAGAAGACCAGAAGAAAGAAAAAGGTGGTTGAAGATGCTAACTCGGAAACCAATCAAGTCAAAGAAAGGCTAGGAGAAATCGTTAGTGGAGAAACTCCAGTGAAAAAGTCTAGAGTAAAGTTTGCTAACATTAACCCACTAAACCATATAAAAAAGAAAGGCCCTAAAATCAAGTACACTCCAGCAAGAATGTTATCTACAAAACTGCTTACACTTCAGTCACAGTTATTAAGATCTGAACCAAAAGCTCAGTTTCAAACAAACAGAATTGAGGGGGTGTCATCTTCTGAAATAGGTGATGCATTAAATCTAAGTACAAAAAATGTGCTTAGTACTAAATCGAAAGGAAGTACAATTGTATATATTAAACCAGTTCATTCAGAAGATAGTAACACTAACTTAGACAAGAGTGGAATGGTTTCTGTAAATTCGGACAATGCAACTGTTTTTAGTGCTAAAACAGGAGTAAATAGAATGAACACTGTCCAGCCAGATCATCCACTAAACCTGAGTGTCAAGTCTGAAAAACTAGTGCCAGAGGCACCAGTAACAGTATCTTATATTGGGAACAGTGATTCAAGGGTAGTAGGAATAAATCTTCAAGATATCATAACAAAATCTGTAGATGTTAGCATGAAGCAAGAAACGCCAAACGTTGTATCTAGTAAGAGCATTCTTACAACGAAACAAAATGGAATAAAGCATGTGCAAAAAATGGGATCAATGAGACCCAAAAATAAATCTAAAGGAAGTTTTATGAGTCTTGCAGAGACAATAAGAAAACTAGAAATGAAAATTTCTCAGAAAAGTCCTTTAACTCAACAATCACAACATTTAGCTGTAACTGTACCAAGTCAAGAAATTAGTGTTAATGGGAATGCATCAGAAAATTTTAATTCATCTTCAGGAACTACTAAACAGCTTGCTCCCTCAATCAAAAGTGAAATTCTTCCCCAACAAAGTAAACCTATTAGTTTCATAATTAATACAGTTAATCCTCTTCAGCTTGCTGTCAGTAACACATCTAGCCAGAGTTTTGCACTTGAAAATTTACCTAAAGGTTTGACTATATGCAGTCCTTTGTCAAAAACTGTTAATTCAACACGGCTAACCACAGTCCCTTCTTCATGTTCCATCATTGCTCTCCCAGTATCTTCAGCTTTGCTAAAACCTAAAGTACCAGAAGGGAAAATTACAAATTTCTCAAAGGAAAGTAAAGAAGTTAAACAGGTAGTTTACAATATTCAGAGAATAAATCCAGAACTTCAGATATCACAAAATATTATTGATGTAAAGTGTCCCATCCAGACTTCCAGTAAATTGTGTTCCTCTGAAAAAAAAACTGACTTTATTCTGCAGAATCATGATATAAAACCAGAAACATCTATATTTACAGAGAGAAACTTCAAAAGTGAGAAAACTGGAAATATAGTGGACTCTAATGATGATAAACCAGCCATTCTGAAGGTATGTTTAAATTTGTGATGTAAATAATTACTTTACTAACTAAATATATAAAATGTACTGTGAATTTTTGATCAAAGAGTTAGCACAAAGGATCACATGTAAAGTGTAATAGACTTAAAATAAGACCCAAAACTTGAGTGCTTTCGAATAGTTGACTATTCTTTGTTCTCCTGAAGAAGAATAGTCAACTATTCAAAAGTGCTCGAGTTTTGGGTCTTATTTTAAGTCTAAAAATGTACTGTGGATTTTTAAGCAAAAATTTGAGAGTCTTAGAAATTGTGTGTTTGTATGTATAATTTTAAGATAGGATATCTTTTGATACAATAATAACTTTGCAAAAAAAAAAAGTAGTTTATATATATATATATATATATATTAGGGATGGGATAAATAGAATTTTGGTCAGATATCAGGCTTTTGATATCCAATTGGAAACTGATATCACATCAGAAATTATATGTGGCCATGCATATTGAAAATGTCTCTCAGACAAAAGCTATTACTTTCTTAAAATATAGTTTTAAATTAGTTATTGAAATTTTGATAAGGATATACATGGCAAGATACATCCACACGAGCGAGTAACTGTTGCAAGGACTTTTATGTGAATGCAGCACATGTTGATGTGAGACATTGTTTTACACCCTGATAATCTACTTTGAGATTGTTGTTTTGGTTTTGCTTGCTATTGCTGATACTGTTGCTACCATGACTACCTGTGGCAGACATGCAGTGGCAACTCAACAGATGTGTGTGTTGTTTATTTAAATTATGTAACTGTTATCTGTATTACAACTATTATGATTATCAGGTTTTCTACTTTTTAGTAATGGAAAAAATGCCACTATTTTAAAAGCTAGTAGAAAGCACCCATGGGCGAGATGACAATACATATTGTGTGATGCATGTGCAAGTAATATGCATAAGTAATATTGTGAGATAATCCATTCATATAGATGCTATCTAATTATCTGACCTGATATTTGGCCCATTTCTAATCAATATGCATATTTTATAAATATCTAACATATAGACCAGTAGTTCCCAACCTGGGGTCCACGTAGGTAATATCATCTCATTAAACAAGTAAGTTTTTTAATCCTGATGTTTTTTTTAATTGCACACTCAGT